GGCTCTGCAATTGTAACTGTATACACACATGTACATGTGTGTGTGTGTGTGTGTGTGTGTGTGTGTGTGTGTGTGTGTGTGTGTGTGTGTGTGCTACATGTACATGTGTATGTATTGCAGGTGTAGGTAGGTATGTTTCATTAGGTGCCAATGCATTATCTGTTCTTTATGTGTTGTGATAGCTGATAGTTCATGTCTCCCACTCTCCTTTCCTCTCTTTCCTTTTTCCTCTCTCTCTGACTCACTTTACTTGACACATAAATGATGTCATTGTAATTTCTACATGTACATGTAGTACTGTATTTTATACATGTACAGTCTGTCTCTTTCCTTTTAATTTTTTTTGAATTTTTGCTCTTTTTCCTGTAAATTCTTAATTTTAATCAAATCAGTCCATACTTTAATTATCTCTCTCCCTCCCTCCCTCCCACTTTCTCCCTCCCTTCCTCCCTCTCCTTCCCACCATCTCTCCTTCCCATCATCTCTCCCTCCCTCCCTCCCTCTCCCTCCCCTCTCCCTCTCTCCCCCCTCTCCCTCTCCCTCCCTCCCTCTCCCTCCCCCTCTCCCTCTCTCCCTCCCTCCCTCTCTCCCTCTCCCTTCACAGGTTAGTGTTGGTTTTGCTGATGATCCTCTCGCTACAAGAGAAGACGTGATAAGCATCACGAAAGACGTCCAGAAGTTCTTAGCTACAATATCCCAATTGAAGAAGGCAATGGAAATGATGGACACTAGTAGCAATACTTCAGGTGAGTCTCATCCAATTAAACACATGTAAATCGGGACACAATTGCATGTACATGTACATGTTAATAATAATTAAGAAATGTGGCAATAGCGCTAATGTGTTCTTCCTATTATTGAAAAAGTCTTACTGTGTCATGATAGACAAAAATGTACTTTTTTCAATTAATATACATTGAGCTACTAATACTTGATCTTTATACAGTATAGCCTCTTTTAGCTGACATTCTCTATAGCGTACACCTCCATTTAACGGACAGCACCTAGTTTACCAATTACATTCCTTACTGTATGAAATAACCTCCTCATAAAGGACACCTCTGTATAACAATCAAACTGTCTTATACCAATATGCCCATTATATAGAGGCTGCACTTTAGCTTTGATGTAGCCTACGCAACACATACATGTACATGTACATGTACTGACGCTATGTTACGTAATACATTTACAATACAGTACAATGGACTGATCTATTTCTATTGCAATTTAAAACAATTATAAATTGCATGTGATGCACATGTA